ATGCAAGTGATGGAGAAGATGAACTGAAAGCCCTTTCAAGATACATTTCAGCAGGATCAACTCTAAAGGCTGTTCTGGAATATATGTGCACATTTGGAAGATTGGACAAATGACCAGGGAAGAGTATTAAAATATTGCTCAGGCATGCAGGAGTGAAATCAGGAAGGCCAAATCACACTTTGAGTTGCAGCTAGCAAGAGATGTTAAGAGTAACAAGAAGGGTTTCTTTAGGTATGTTAGCAACAAGAAGAAAGTCAAGGAAAGTGTGGGCCCCTTACTGAATGAGGGAGGCAACCTTTTGACAGAGGATGTGGAAAAAGCTAATGTACTCAATGCTTTTTTTGCCTCTGTCTTCACGAACAAGGTCAGCTCGCAGACTACTGCACTGGGCAGCACAGCTTGGGAAGGAGGTGACCAGCCCTCTGTGGAGAAAGAAGTGGTTCGGGACTATTTAGAAAAGCTGGAAGAGCACAAGTCCATGGGGCCGGATGCGCTGAATCCGAGAGTGCTAAAGGAGTTGGCGGATGTGATTGCAGAGCCATTGGCCATTATCTTTGAAAACTCATGGCAATCAGGGGAGGTCCTGGACAACTTGAAAAAGGCTAATGTAGTGACCATCTTTAAAAAATGGAAGAAGGAGCATCCAGAGATCTACAAGACAGTCAGCCTCACCTCAGTCGCTGGAAAAATCATGGAGCAGGTCCTCAAGGAACCAATTCTGAAGCACTGAGCAGAGAGGAAAGCGATCAGGAACAGTCAGCATGGATTCACCAGGGGCAAGTCATGCCTGACTAACCTAATTGCCTTCTATGACAAGATAACTGGCTCTGTGGATGAGGGGAAAGCAGTGGATGTGTTATTCCTTGACTTAGCAAAGCTTTTGACACGGTCTCCCACAGTATTCTTGCCAGTAAGTTAAAGAAGTATGGGCTGGATGACTGGACTATAAGGTGGATAGAAAGCTAGCTAGATCGTCGAGCTCAAAGGGTAATGATCAATGGCTCCATGTCTAGTTGGCAGCCAGTATCAAGTGGAGTGCCCCAAAGGTTGGTCCTGGGGCCAGTTTTCTACAATAACTTCATTAACGATCTTGAGGATGGCGTGGATTGCACCCTCAGCAAGTTTTCAGATGACACTAAACTGGGAGGAGAGGTAGATACGCTGGAGGGTAGGGATAGGGTACAGAGGGACCTAGACAAATTAGAGGATTGGGCCAAAAGAAATCTGATGAGGTTCAACAAGGACAAGTGCAGAGTCCTGCACTGAGGACAGAAGAATCCCATGCACCGCTACAGACTAGGGACCGAATGGCTCGGCAGCAGTTCTGCAGAAAAGAACCTAGGGGTTACAGTGGACGAGAAGCTGGACATGAGTCAACAGTGTGCCCTTGCTGCCAAGAAGGCCAATGGCATTTTGGGATGTATAAGTAGGGGCATTGCCAGCAGATCGAGGGACATGATCGTTCCCCTCTATTCGACATTGGTGAGGCCTCATCTGGAGTACTGTGTCCAGTTTTGGGCCTCACACTACGAGAAGGATGTGAAAAAATTGGAAAACGTCCAGCGGATGGCAACAAAAATGATTAGGGGACTGGAACACATGACTTATGAGGAGAGGCTGAGGGAACTGGGATTGTTTAGTCTGCGGAAGAGAAGAATGAGGGGGGATTTGATAGCTGCTTTCAACTACCTGAAAGGGGGTTCCAAAGAAGATGGATCTAGACTGTTCTCAGTGGTAGCAGATGACAGAATGAGGAGTAATGGTCTCAAGTTACAGTGGGGGAGGTTTAGGTTGGATATTAGGAAAAACTTTTTCACTAGGAGGGTGGTAAAACACTGGAATGCGTTACCTAGGAAGGTGGTGGAATCTCCTTCCTTTGAGGTTTTTAAGGTCAGGCTTGACAAAGCCCTGGCTGGGATGATGTAGTTGGGGATTGGTCCTGCTTTGAGCAGGGGGTTGGACTCGATGACCTCCTGAGGTCCCTTCCAACCCTGATATTCTATGATTCTATGATAAGATGACCACCCTCTTTTCAAATGCTTTTGTTGCTCTGCGCATACTTCTGACACTTCCTTTAACTGTTGCCAGTGGAGAACGCAGCTTCTCCAAGCTGAAGTTAATAAAAACAGATCTACGCTCCACAATGACAGAGGAGAGGCTGGTCGGCCTTGCAACCATCTCAATAGAGCATGAGCTGGCCCAGACTGTGGACCTTCAGCAGAAAGCAGTTCAAATCTTTGCAACCAAGAAGGCACGGAAAGCACCACTTTGATTATTCAAACAGATAAAAATGCCAGTGTTTACTATGCAGACAAGAAAAGTTACATTTGCTGTTCAGGCATTTGAAAGTTAAGTTTCAGAGTAGCAGCCGTGTTAGTCTGTATCCGCAAAAAGAAAAGGAGGACTTATGGCACCTTAGAGACTCACAAAGTTATTTGAGAATAAGCTTTCATGAGCTACAGCTGACTTCATCGGATGCAAGCAGTGGAAAATACAGTGGGAAGATTTTATATACACAGAGAACATGAAACAATGGGTGTTACCATACACACTGTAACAAGAGTGGTCAGGTAAGGTGAGCTATTACCAGCAGGGAGAAAAAAAAAAAACTCATCATCAAGGATCTACAACCTACCCTGAAGGACGACCCATCACTCTCACAGATCTTGGAAGACAGGCGAGTCCTTGCTTACAGACAGCCCCGCAACCTGAAGCAAATACTCATCAGCAACCACACACCATACAACAAAAACACTAACTCAGGAACCTATCCTTGCAACAAAGCCCATTGCCAACTGTGTCCACATATCTATTCAGGGGACACCATCATAGAGCTTAATCACATCAGCCACACCATCAGGGGCTCGGCCACCTGCATATCTACCAATGTGATATATGCCATCATGTGCCAGCAATGCTCCTCTGCCATGTACATTGGTCAAACTGGACAGTCTCTATGTAAAAGAATAAATGGACACAAATCAGATGTCAAGAATTATAACATTCATAAACCAGTTGGAGAACACTTCAATATCTCTGGTCGCTCGATTACAGACCTAAAAGAGGCAATTCTTCAACAAAAAATCTTCAAAAACAGACTCCAAGGAGAGACTGCTGAATTGGAATTAATTTGCAAACTGGACACCATTAAATTAGGCTTGAATAAAGACTGGGAGTAAAGACACAAAGTAAAACTATTTCCCCATGTTTATTCCCCCCCGCCCCTGTTCCTCACACGTTCTTGTCAACTGCTGGAAATGGCCCTCTTTTATTATCACTGCAAAAGGTTTTTTTCTCTCTCTCTCTCCTGCTGGTAATAGCTCACTTTACCTGATCACTCTTGTTAGAGTGTGTATGGTAACACCCATTGTTTCATGTTCTCTGTGTATATAAAATCTCCCCACTGTATTTTCCACTGCGTGCATCCAATGAAGTGAGCTGTAGCTCATGAAAGCTCAAATAAATTTATTAGTCTCTAAGGTGCCACAAGTACTCCTTTTCTTTTTATGAAAGTTAAGTGTTACTTAAAATTTTTGAACAAGGCATTTTAAGTTGTTAGTTCTCTTTCATTGGGGTAGGTAGTAGAGCAGTACCATGAGAGGAGCAGAACAGGAGGAAGGCAGAACTGAGACCTTTCAAATTTTTGGCCCAAGCGAGGGGTAATGGGGGCGTCATTTGAGCTCCCCGCCTCAGGTGGCTGTGCCTCTCCAAACAGCCTGGCGTGGCCCCACCCACACTCCGCCCCCAGGCCCTTTCCCGCACTGCAGTTCCTTCCTTCTCTTCCACAGTAGCCCAGGTTGGCTGGGGCTGGGGTGGGCTGGCGTTGCAGTTCCACCGGGACTCGGGGCAGCTGGTGCTGGAGCCACGCTGCCCACCTGGCACTTGGGGCGCTGGGACCATGCCGCAGCTCTGGGGCTGGCGGCACTCCAGGGCTGGGGTTGGGGGCCCGCCCAGAGCTCTGGAGGCCTAACCAGAGCTCTGGAGCTGGGGCAGGGGGCCTGGTGGCCACAGTGGGGGTGCTCTGGGTCCCTGCAGGGGAGGGAGGGTAGAAGGGGAGGGTGAGGAGCAGGGCCTTGGGCAGAAGGGGAGGGGCCAGGGGCTAGCCTCCCCAATGACCGGTTCACCAGCTGCCCGTGGTGGCTTTCCACATCCAAAAGTTCTGCAGCCACGGTTTGTCAACCCAGACTTGCATAACACTAAGATCCCTTCATTCAGAAGCCCACAGAGTGCTGGGATGGAAACCAATGCATCATGGGACATTGAGCCCGCCCCATGACATCCTGTGATCCTCTCTGCCTTCCCAGAAGTCTTACCTGCAGAAGGTGGACAGTAGCACCATGGGATAGCTACCCACAGTGCACTGCTCTCTCTGTTGATGTTCGAGCACCAATTGTGGACACGCTTTACAGAAAGAGGGAGCGTAGTGCAAACACGCAATAGTGATGTTATTATAGCGCTTTTCGATGGTCCACATAACTTTTGTTGACAAAACTCTGTAGTGTAGATCAGTGGTTCTCAAAGCCAGTCCCCCACTTGTTCAGGGAAAACCCCTGGTGGGCCGGACCGGTTTGTTTACCTGCCGCATCCGCAGGTTTGGCCGATCGCGGCTCCCACTGTCTGTGGTTCACTGCTCCAGGGCAATGGGGGCTGAGGAAAGCGGAGTGGGCTGAGGGATGTGCTGGCCGCCATTCCTGCAGCCCCCATTGACCTGGAGCGGCGAACCGCAGCCAGTGGGAGCTGCGATCGGCCGAACCTGTGGATGCGGGACAGGAGCTGATGGCAGGATGCTGCATTGCCAATGTTCATGCTCTTATCAAGAGTTTCATCTTATTGGGTGATTTCCTTTAGCCCCAGCTCCGGGAGTCCTGGGATTTTGTAAGAATCGCAGCTCCTTTAAAAAAAACAAAACCAAAGGCTGTTTCCAGCCTTTGGGCTGAGGGGTGGGGGCGGGAGCCTGGAAACGCGACCCCCAGAGGCTCTGTTAAGTCAGCAGACAAGGAGCGGTGGCTGCTACTGTCAATCGGATCAATCGCGGCATTTGAGCGGCTGGATCCCGACGCAGGAGCAGCGGGCGCGTCTCGTCACCCGGCCCGGCCGGGCGTGTAGGACGGCTCGTGAGGGGAGAAGGGAACGCCCCGGCTAGGAGCAAGAAGCAGAACCATAGAGCGCGGCCTCCGCGGAGTGCTAGACAGGCACATTCTCGGTCCCTTCCAGCCGGCCCGTCTCGGTGCTTGCTGGCGGTAGGGCACGCGCGGCCTTCTCATTGGCCCGGAAGACACCCGCTCCAGACCCGGAGGCGCAGGCACGGGGCTGCCGGAGTCGAGCGCCGGGAAGCCCTCACTGCTGCTCGGTCAGTGGCCGGCCGGGAGGTAGGCGCCTGTCCCCGTTCCCAGCCGCTCTGCCCCTCAGCACCGCTGGTGTCCCTGCCCCCCGCACCGCTCCCCGCCCTGAGCCCCCTCCCCATGTATCCCGCACCCCGAGCCCCCTCCCCGCGAATCCCCCCGCCCCACCCCATCCTGAGCCCCCTCCTCGCGTATCCCCCGCACCCCGAGCCCCCTCCCCCGCGAATCCCCCCGCCCCACCCCATCCTGAGCCCCCTCCTCGCGTATCTCCCCACCCCTCCCCATCCTGAGCCCCCTCCCCGCGAATCCCCCCGCCCCACCCCATCCTGAGCCCCCTCCCCGCGAATCCCCCGCACCCCGAGCCCCCTCCCCGCGAATCCCCCCGCCCCACCCCATCCTGAGCCCCCTCCTCGCGTATCTCCCGCACCCCTCCCCATCCTGAGCCCCCTCCCCGCGAATCCCCCCGCCCCACCCCATCCTGAGCCCCCTCCCCATGTATCCCCACCCCGAGCCCCCTCCCCGCGAATCCCCCCGCCCCTCCCCATCCTGAGCCCCCTCCTCGCGTATCTCCCGCACCCCTCCCCATCCTGAGCCCCCTCTTCGCGTATCCCCCGCCCCTCCCCACTCTGAGCCCCCCCCTCGCGTATCTCCCGCACCCCTCCCCATCCTGAGCCCCCTCCTCCGTATCTCCCGCACCCCTCCCCATCCTGAGCCCCCTCTTCGCGTATCCCCCGCACCCCTCCCCACTCTGAGCCCCCTCCCCGCGTATCCCCCGCACCCCTCCCCATCCTGAGCCCCCTCCCCGCGTACCCCCCACCCCTCCCCATCCTGAGCCCCCTCCCCCGTATCCCCCGCACCCCTCCCCATCCTGAGCCCCCTCCTCCTATCTCCCGCACCACTCCCCATCCTGAGCCCCCCTCCTCGCGTATCTCCCGCACCACTCCCCATCCTGAGCCCCCTCCTCGCTATCCCCCGCACCCCCCCCCATCCTGAGCCCCCTCCCCATGTATCCCGCACCCCCGAGCCCCCTCCCCCGCGAATCCCCCCGCCCCTCCCCATCCTGAGCCCCCTCCCCGCGAATCCCCCGCACCCCCTCCCCATCCTGAGCCCCCTCCCCATGTATCCCGCACCCCGAGCCCCCTCCCCGCGAATCCCCCCGCCCCACCCCATCCTGAGCCCCCTCCTCCCGCGTATCCCCCGCACCCCTCCCCATCCTGAGCCCCCTCCCCGCGAATCCCCCGCCCCACCCCACCCCCTCTGAGCCCCCTCCTCGCGTATCTCCCGCACCCCTCCCCATCCTGAGCCCCCTCCCCATGTATCCCGCACCCCGAGCCCCCTCCCCCGCGAATCCCCCCGCCCCTCCCCATCCTGAGCCCCCTCCTCGCGTATCTCCCCACCCCTCCCCATCCTGAGCCCCCTCCCCCGCGATCCCCCCACCCCTCCCCATCCTGAGCCCCCTCCCCGCGATCCCCCCACCCCTCCCCATCCTGAGCCCCCTCCCCGCGATCCCCCCACCCCTCCCCATCCTGAGCCCCCTCCCCGCGATCCCCCCACCCCTCCCCCCTGGCCCCCTCCTCCTACTCCCGCACCCTCCCCTCCTGAGCCCCCTCCTCGCGATCTCCCCACCCTCCCCATCCTGAGCCCCCTCCTCGCATATCCCCCGCACCCCTCCCCATCCTGAGCCCCCTCCCCATGTACCCGCACCCCGAGCCCCCTCCCCGCGAATCCCCCCGCCCCTCCCCATCCTGAGCCCCCTCCCCGCGAATCCCCCGCACCCCCTCCCCATCCTGAGCCCCCTCCCCATGTATCCCGCACCCCGAGCCCCCTCCCCGCGAATCCCCCCGCCCCACCCCATCCTGAGCCCCCTCCTCGCGTATCCCCCGCACCCCTCCCCATCCTGAGCCCCCTCCCCGCGAATCCCCCACCCCACCCCACCCCACTCTGAGCCCCCTCCTCGCGTATCTCCCGCACCCCTCCCCATCCTGAGCCCCCTCCCCATGTATCCCGCACCCCGAGCCCCCTCCTCGCGTATCCCCCGCACCCCTCCCCATCCTGAGCCCCCTCCTCGCGTATCCCCCGCACCCCTCCCCATCCTGAGCCCCCTCCTGGCGTATCTCCCGCACCCCTCCCCATCCTGAGCCCCCTCCCCATGTATCCCGCACCCCGAGCCCCCTCCCCGCGAATCCCCCCGCCCCACCCTGAGCCCCCTCCTCGCGTATCTCCCGCACCCCTCCCCATCCTGAGCCCCCTCCCCATGTATCCCGCACCCCGAGCCCCCTCCCCCGAATCCCCCGCCCCTCCCCATCCTGAGCCCCCTCCTCGCTTATCTCCTGCACCCCTCCCCATCCTGAGCCCCCTCTTCGCGTATCTCCTGCACCCCTCCCCATCCTGAGCCCCCTCCCCGCGAATCCCCCCGCCCCACCCCATCCTGAGCCCCCTCCCCATGTATCCCGCACCCCGAGCCCCCTCCCCGCGAATCCCCCCGCCCCTCCCCATCCTGAGCCCCCTCCTCGCTTATCTCCCGCACCCCTCCCCATCCTGAGCCCCCTCTTCGCGTATCCCCCGCCCCCTCCCCACTCTGAGCCCCCCCCTCGCGTATCCCCCCGCACCCCTCCCCATCCTGAGCCCCCTCCCCGCGTATCCCCCGCACCCCTCCCCATCCTGAGCCCCCTCCCCGCGTATCCCCCGCACCCCTCCCCATCCTGAGCCCCCTCCCCGCGTATCTCCCGCACCCCTCCCCATCCTGAGCCCCCTCCTCGCGTATCTCCCGCACCCCTCCCCATCCTGAGCCCCCTCCTCGCGTATCTCCCGCACCCCTCCCCATCCTGAGCCCCCTCCCCATGTATCCCGCACCCCGAGCCCCCTCCCCCGAATCCCCCCCCCACCCCACCCTGAGCCCCCTCCCCATGTATCCCGCACCCCGGCCCCCTCCCCGCGAATCCCCCCGCCCCACCCCATCCTGAGCCCCCTCCCCCATGTATCCCGCACCCCGAGCCCCCTCCCCGCGAATCCCCCCGCCCCTCCCCACTCTGAGCCCCCTCCTCGCGATCCCCCGCACCCCCTCCCCATCCTGAGCCCCCTCCCCGCGAATCCCCCGCCCCACCCCACCCCACTCTGAGCCCCCTCCTCGCGTATCTCCCGCACCCCTCCCCATCCTGAGCCCCCTCCCCATGTATCCCGCACCCCGAGCCCCCTCCCCGCGAATCCCCCCGCCCCTCCCCATCCTGAGCCCCCTCCTCGCGTATCTCCCGCACCCCTCCCCATCCTGAGCCCCCTCTTCGCGTATCCCCCGCACCCCTCCCCATCCTGAGCCCCCTCCCCGCGATCCCCCGCACCCCTCCCCATCCTGAGCCCCCTCCCCGCGATCCCCCCACCCCCCCCCATCCTGAGCCCCCTCCCCCGTATCCCCCGCACCCCTCCCCATCCTGAGCCCCCCTCCTCGCGTATCTCCCGCACCACTCCCCATCCTGGCCCCCTCCCTCGCGATCTCCCGCACCCTCCCCATCCTGAGCCCCCTCCTCGCATATCCCCCGCACCCCTCCCCATCCTGAGCCCCCTCCCCATGTATCCCGCACCCCGAGCCCCCTCCCCGCGAATCCCCCGCCCCTCCCCATCCTGAGCCCCCTCCTCGCTTATCTCCTGCACCCCTCCCCATCCTGAGCCCCCTCTTCGCGTATCTCCTGCACCCCTCCCCATCCTGAGCCCCCTCCCCGCGAATCCCCCCGCCCCTCCCCACCCTGAGCCCCCTCCTCGCTTATCTCCTGCACCCCTCCCCACCCTGAGCCCCCTCCCCGTGAACCCCCCCACCCCACCCCATCCTGAGCCCCCTCCCCATGTATCCCGCACCCCGAGCCCCCTCCCCGCGAATCCCCCCCCCCTCCCCATCCTGAGCCCCCTCCTCGCTTATCTCCTGCACCCCTCCCCACCCTGAGCCCCCTCCCCCGTGAACCCCCTCTCCCCACCCCACCCTGAGCCCCCTCCACGCGTGTCCTCCACCCCACCCTGAGCCCCCTCCCCGCATATCCCGCACCCTGAGCCCCCTCCCCGCATATCCCACACCCCCCGCACCCTTCCCCACTCTGAGCCCCCTTCCAACATATCCCCCAACTCTCTCCCCCACCCTGAGCCCCCTCCCCACGTATCCCACAACCCCCTCCCCATTCTGAGTCCCCTCCCCATGTACCCTTCCAAACCCATATCCCTACTACCCTGAGCTCCCCATGTATCCCCTAAATCCCATACCCCCCTCCCCGAGCCCCCTCCCCAGTATCCCTGCCCACCCTGAGCCCTCTCCGCACATACCCTTCCAGACCACCATAACCCTGAGCCCTCTCCCTATGTATCCCCATACTCCTCCTCACCCTGAGCTCCTTCCCCACCTATCCCCCATATCCCTCCTCACCCGGAGCCCCCATCCCCCACATATTCCCAAACCCTGTATCTCTTCTCACCTTGAGTCCCCTCCCCACTTTTCCCCCCAAACCCTGTATCTCTTCTCACCCTGAGTCCCCTCCCCACTTTTCCCCCCAAACCCTGTATTGCTCCCCACGCTGAGTCCCCCTCCATGTATCCCCAAATCCCTCCCAGCCCTGAGTCCTCTCCCCATCCACGTATCCCCCAAGCTGCATACCCCTCCTCACCCTGAGCCCCTGTCCCTTGCATCTCCCTACCCCCAGCCCCTCCACACCCTGAATCCCCTTTGCCAAGCCCCCTTCCCATATATCTCCCAAATCCCCTTTGCTACACCTCATTCTGAGCCTACACCCATGTGTCCCTCAAACCCAAGTCCCTCCTCACCCTGAGCCCCCTGTTCTTGCATCCTCTTGCCCCATGGATCCCCCATCCTGAGCCCTGTGTCCCTGCCTCTCTTCCTGAATCTCCTGTATCCCCAACACATCGTGTCTGCTCTTCTCACCCTATGCCCCTTATATCCCTGACACTTCCCTTTCCCTGCTTCTGTCTTCCCCACAACATGCCTTTCCCCTCACCTTATATATCCTGCTGTCTCCCATATCCCTTTCTCAGCC